ATGTTACACTCATCAAGACCTTTCATTTGAGTACCCACATGCATTTTTGATATATTTTTCATATATACATATATATAATATATATAAATATATATAAAATATATGAAAAATTGATGTAGGTACTCAAATGAAAGGTCTCGAGAAGTGTAACATCAGAATGAGCTTCTATCTTTAAAAATGTCAATAGTTTACGAAATACTATTTTAAGTTGAGAAAAAAAAAATTATTTTTAATTGTAATTTTAATTCAACAGATCGTCCCACAAAGATCTGACTGCCACCATTGCCAAGGAGAACATCATCAGTGAAGCTTCTGACGCTAAATTGAAGAAAGTTGTCACCGATTTCCTTGCTTCATTTGGCGCGTAAAACTCTGTATATGATTAAATGTGTCGTTTAAATGTTCATAGATAGTTACTCGAGCAGTGTCGTTAAGCCGTGCTAAAGTCAACGTGCGGAAGTATTTTAAATAGTTACATTATTGTAGCTATTGATACTGCACGACCATTGACAACAGCACGTTCACATTTTTTTAATTTCACAGAAAGGAAAATTTTTGATCATCATCGTACGCGTTGCAGTAAAAAGTAAAATTATATATAAAATTCATAAGTAAATAAGTGGATGAATGCCGCGTTCGTCTTTAATAAAAATCTATTACTTAGAGGTATTCTCTTGTAATTAAAAAATAAAAAGTTAAAAAAATTTTTGTTTATTTCTTTTAATTATTTAATCCAGGCACTACAACTTGATTTAATTTTCTTTTATCAACAATTAAAGGTTTCAATAATTTTGTTATTTGACCCGTAGCAATTGTGTTTCTTCCTTCTCTTACCGTAAAGGTCTGTCCTACCATCATTGGCATTCGCTTTATAAGGGTCAATTTTGTGGAACATTGTTCTCCAGGCATCAGCATATTATTTCCTTGGCCAAGCATTAAATCATACCGACATTGTACTGACCAAGTTGAACTATAAATTGGCGAGCAATGACCTGATGCCTATAAAAAAAATTTTTTGTATTTAAAAATTGAATTTTTATAATGAAATAAATTTGGTAATTTTACTTTAATTAATAATGACTTTTGTTACATTGCACTGTACTTTTTTAACTATTGACATTTTCAAAGATATAAGCTAATCTTGATGTTACACTCATCAAGAGCTAATTAAATTTATCACATAGGTACTTACATGCATTTTTCAATACGAACTCCTTGAAGAAAATCATCTTCATTAATTATAAACAGCCACTCGTTTTGTTTATTTTGAGCTGACTTTGGAAATGTTACTGTTGACTGCAAATTATAAATAATTATTATATTAAATTTAACAGACATTTAAACATATTTTAGATTATTATAAATTATAACAATTAAATTATAATGAAAAAAATTTCACTATGAGATTTCCATGACTTGTGAACTATAAAAAATTAAATTTTACTTTATTAAATGACGACTTTTGTTAAATTCCACTGTACTTTGTTAACTATTGACGTTGTTAAAGATATAAGCTCATACTGATGTTACATTTTTCATATATACATATACATAATATATATAAATATTTGAAATATATGAAAAATTGATGTGGGTACTTAAATGAAAGGTCTCGATGAGTATAACATCGGGATGAGCTTATATCTTTAAAAATGTCAATAGTTTACAAGAAACAAGGTCATTTCTTAATTATTACACTGGCCACAAAATTTTTCTTATTTTCTCGAATAATATAGATTATTTATAAATTTTTATAAATAAAAAAAAATTACTGGTAAAGGTCGATGTCGGCCACCTTCAGCAGTTTCAATTAAAAACATCTGTGCTTCAAAATGATTTGTTGAAGGAAGTGAATCTCTCTGACAGAGCATCATTCCTCTAAAGACATTATTATACTTAACGCTACGTAATAAAATTCCAACATTTTCTCCAGCAAGAGCTTGTGGTACACTTTTTTGGAATATCTACAACAAATATTTTTTATTTAATTATTGTCAATATTATTATTATTATTATTATTATTTAATTAATGCAAGAGTAAAAAAATGAGTACCTGAATGTCCCCAACAGTGGTTCGAGTTTGCTCATCAAAACCCAACAAATCAGCAGGTGCATTTTTTTTAATGATCCCTCGTTTAATTGTACCCACTACTACGGTACCTCTGCCGGGTACACTTATCACATTGTCAATTGGTAACAGAAAAGGTGACTCGTAGTCTCTTTTAGGAGTCGGTACGTAATTATCTACAGCATCCAGTAGATCTTTAATTGCTGGGACTCCAAATTTAGAATTATCACCGTTCAAACCTAAAAGCGCCGATCCACGGATCACTGGTGCACTTATACCGTCAAATCCAAGGTCAGTTAAGAGCTCTCGTACTTCTATTTCAACCAGGTCCAGCAGCTCATCATCAACAAGATCTGCCTGTAAACTATTAAATCAGTAATATTGTTCAAATGTGATTGAATAATATAAAATAAAGAACCAGACATTTAATAATTTTTTGATTTGTCTTAAAAAATAAACTAACTCTAGAAAATTATTTTTATAATTTTTTAGAGCTTCTAAATATGAAATTTTTTCATTATAATTTAATTTTTAATATTATAAAATAAATTATAAAAAATAAAGAAACTGCTAACCTTGTTGATAAAAACAACAATGTGTTTTATATTGAGTTGTTTTGCTAGAAAAAGATGCTCTCTAGTTTGCGGCATGGTACCATCATCAGCAGCTACCACAAGAATAGCCCCGTCCATTTGTGACGCTCCACTGATCATATTTTTTATAAAATCACTGTGGCCTGGACAATCGGTGTGAGCATATCTGCGTAATTTGGTTGAGTAACCAACATGAGCAATGTTGATTGTGATACCACGTGCTTTTTCTTCAGGAGCTTTGTCAATTTGGTCAAATGGAACATATTTGCAGTTTTTAAATTCCTCTGACAGGACTTTTGTTATAGCTGCTGTTAGAGTTGTTTTGCCATGATCCACATGACCTATTGTACCTATGAAAATTAAATCAGTATACATTTAATTATTTTATAACTAATAAATTACATGATATTATCAAAATAGGTAATTTCTTCCAAAAAATGATTTTTAAAAAATTTCATTTTTAATTTATTACAATTTTTTTTTAATAATTTTTTTTGTACTAATTTATTTCTTAAACAAATTCTAAAAATTATTGAATATCTGCTACTTTAATTTTCATATAAATTACAACAAAAAAATTGACATGTAGAAATTAAAAAAAATTATTTTTTGGAAAAAATTGGTTTGTTAAAAACAAAAAAAAAACTGTCTAGTGATTATTAAAACTTTAATATACTTTCATACTGTACTTACCTATATTACAAATTTGTTCTGCGTCTACTTCAGAAGAAAAATTCCGACTGTGTGAAATTGATAATTGATTTATTTTTTTATTCTCAAGTTTTGAAAATTCTGTAAAGACACGTAACACTGAGAATGTTTTTTTATTTATATTATTTAATTTAACTGCTGAAATTTTAGCTGCACTGTAAGCCGGTCGGAAAATATTCCTTAAAACACTCATGATTTTATTTTTTAATTTCACTTAGCTATTGTCAATACAAACATAAAAAAATTTTTAATAAATTAAAAATTAACAAATACTTTAATCATTTCAATAATTTTTTATATTAAACAAATAATAACAATGGGGGTTTTAATTTTAGTTAGAAATATAATTAGTGTTTTCTTTATACGGTAGAGCGCTCAAGTAGTCTACTGAAGTGAGGTGCAAAATTTTAAAAAATCATGTAAACTGAAGTCAGCTGACAGCTGTCAAATTTTTTTTTAATTTTAGAATTTTAATTTGTAAGTTATAATTTAATGAATAAAAAAATAAAAATCAGCTGACTAGAGTATTATTGATAATTATTGAAATTGATAAAAATAAATAATATAAAAAAATATTTAAAGTGTTTGATTTTTTATTTTATTTTGCTTAATTTATTAAATTATAACTAAAAAATATTTTTAAAAAATTGCACTTATAGTTTTTTAAGTTTTTAAGAAAAGAAAAAAATTTTTTTAACAAAAAAAATCATGAAAATTTTTAGATTTCGGTTGTTTATTTTATTCATAAAAATTCTTATAAAAAGTTTCACTTGTAATTTTTATTAATTTTTACACGTGGAACTTTTTAATTAAATTTTATAACACTAAAGTTAGCCGACGTTTTTAATTTTTTGATTTTTTTTCAATTATTAAATTAGAACTAAAAAATATTATTTAAAAATTGCACCTCTAGTTTTTCGAGTTTTTTTACAAATGAAATTTTTTTTTAATTATTGTGTAATAATTATTTAATAAAAAAAAGTTCTAAAAATTTTTAAATGTCAGCTAACTTAATTTTCATTAAAATTTTTTCTATAATAATCTAATTGCTATAAAATTTTAAAAAAATTTTTAAATCTGTCAACACTTCAGTGTCATTAAAGTGTTATTAAGTTGGCAGCACTGTAAATCAGTTATCAGTGATTCCCGTGTGATGGACGCAGGTGAAAGAAAACTCATTAGTGATAAAAAGTCAAAACTGTCATTGTAAATTAACTCTAATAATACGACATGAATGACTGTTTATTACGCTAATCAAAAAATCATCAATAAGTTGGTCAAATAAAATGTACTAATGGAATAAAAAGTGCTAAAGGTACTCATATGTTGCAATGAATCTCTGGTACGTAATTTATGGGGTCGCTAGAAAACTGCGTTTATCGCGATCCGCCCCGCACGGGCTCTCTTTATCAACTGATTGATGATCAATGGCTCTATTTGAGAAAAAATATACAAATAAAGTGTTATTAGATGATACTGAAACTTTGGTAAGCGTAATTGAAAATGCAAGAACTATTGATGGTCATACAGTACGTTTAATTTTATTTATTATATCTTTTTTAAAATTCTTATTTATTTATTATTGTTATTATTATTATTATTATTATTATTATTGTTTTGGTTATTTATTTAAGTATGTATTTAATTACAGGAATACGTGATCAGAACACAAAGAGGCCCCTTACCCGAAAAATCTTGGCGTGTTAGCAGACGTTATAATGACTTTGTACAGCTCAATGGAGTTTTATCTATGTCAGGCTTGGACCTGCCGTTGCCTCCTAAAAAAATTATTGGTAATATGGATGTAGAATTTATAGCCCAACGTCAAATCGCCTTGCAAAATTATTTAAACGTTGTACTAATGAATCCCATATTAGCTTCATCGTTGCCTATGAAGCATTTCCTCGATCCCAACAATTACGCTATACCTTTACATGGTAAGTTGAAATTATTTTATTTGTAAAATTTGTTTTTTAAATGACACTGAAGTTGACCGGCATTAAAAAGGTTTCATATCATTCACACCGATAGTCAATTTATTATGATGAGTATTTAGGCTGCATTTGAAATTTTCTATCTCTAGATACATAATTAAGAAATGACCTTGTATCTTGTGAACTAATGAAATTTTTAAAGATATAAGCTCATCCCGATGTTACACTCATTAAGACCTTTCATTTGAGTACCCACATCAATTTTTCATATACTTTATATATATATATTTTTTTTCAGAGTGGTATAACGAAAAACAAACATTTAAAAAAAAATTTTTTTTTTCATTAAAAAAAAAAAATAGAAAGAAAAATTTTACCACTCTGAAAATTTCAGGGAATTTGCAAAAAATACTGAAGTTTTTTATAAAAAAGAAAAATCGAAAATCAAAAATGTCAA